AGAGTTTGGTCAGGTAGCAGGATTTAAATTAAACAAGAGCAATACCAAAGTAATTGAGAAAAATCTGGATAATGAAGAAAGGAAACTATTACAAGAGAAAACAGGCCTAGACTTTGTGAAAAAAGTTAAATATTTGGGGGTGAACCTGTCTGGAAAAAAATTGAACTTATATAAAGATAATCATGAGAAATTATGGAATGAAATTAAAAGAGATTTAGAGGTATGGTCAAACCTAAAATTGTCATTAATGGGCCAGATTTCTGTGATTAAGATGAAGATGCTTTTCCTGTTTCAAGCCCTCCCAATTATAGATAATGCGAAATGCTTTAAAGAATGGCAGAAAGCACTCTCTAGATTTATCTGGCAGGGGAGGAAACCCAGAATTAAATATAAATTACTAACGGATTCTAAAGAAAGAGGTGGATTTTCCCTGCCAGATTTAAAAATCTATTTTGAAGCTGCTGCACTTTATTGGATTAAATAATGGATGCAATTAGAAGATACAGATCTATTAGATTTGGAGGGATTTGACAATGTGTTCGGTTGGCATGCATATTTATGGTATGACAAGGTAAAGGCCCATAATGCATTTAAAAACCATGTAATTAGGAAATCGTTGTATAATGTTTGGATAAAATATAAATATCTCTTAGAAAGAAAGACGCCCAGGTGGCTTTCACAAATGGAGGCAAAGGCCCAGAAAAAATTAAATATGGATACCAAATGGTTGAGATATTATGATTTATTAATAGAAGAGGAAGGTTACAAATTAAAACCATTTGATCAAGTTAAAGATAAGCTAAATTGGTTACAATACCACCAGATCAATGAATTGTATAAATTGGATAAGAAAAATGATTTTGCTTTTGAAAAATCTAAGTTGGAGACAGAGTTGTTGGATACTAAAGGTAAAAATTTATCTAAAATGTACAAGCTATTGTTGGAGTGGCATACAAAAAGATGAACAAGTTAAATCTGTGATGATAGATTGGGCAAGAAATGTAGGACATAATATAATGTTTGAGGATTGGGAAAGATTGTGGAAGAAAGAGGTCAAGTTCACCGCATGTACTTTGTTAAAGAAAAATATAATGAAAATGATGTATAGATGGTATTTGACTCATGTAAAATTAGCAAAGATATATCATAATTGTGACAATATATGTTGGAAATGTAAAGAAAAGGAAGGAACCTTTTATCATATGTGGTGGACCTGTCCCAAGGTGAAAGACTCCTGGGAAAAGATTTATAATGAATTGAAAAAAATGTTGAAACATACATTTATAAAGAAACCAGAGGCCTTCTTGGAATAACAGGTTTGGAATTGCCCAGGAAAGATGTTAAATTATTTTTGTATGCCACAACTGCTGCTCGTATTTTGTTGGCTAAAAAGTGGGAAATCCAAGAATTACCAACAATAGAAGAATGGCAGATGAAGATGATGGATTTTTCGGAGCTAGCCAACCTAACTGGAACAGTCCGCGACCAGAAGGAGGAGGAGTGTCAGGAAGAATGGAATAAATTTAATGATTATTTAGTTAAATTTGTTAAGTTAAACTAACTGAAAAGAGCTTGCAGATACTTAATGGGCTTAGGATTTTATTTATGTTGAGTGATGAATTAATATGTTTAATTCTATAAGGGGAAGATCTAAGGATGTTAATGTTTAAGTTAAATTTCATAAAAATTGGGATTTGGAAAACCATTAAAAGGACATGCAATGAAATTCAACCAAGGGGAAGTGAGGAAATCACTTAACAAAGTTAATAACGGTAATTTTCAATAAGGCTATGATTTATGTTTGTCTGTCTTGTGTGTTTGTTTGTTTGTTTGTTTTTAATATTGTGAAAACTAATAAAAAAAATTTGGGGAAAAAAGAGAGGCAGAGATGAGTCAGGCTAGTGAAGGAGCCAGGGTGTCTCCCTCTCCTGCTGCAACAAGCTCCCCTCTCCTGGTGTCTCCAAGGACCAGAAGAGGGATGAAGAGGGATGAGCAAAGAAGGGCGATTCAGTGGAGTTTCATTCCTTTTTTATGGTCTTATCTGATGCTGTTCTGATAGTATGTTAGTTCACTTGGCGCTCTTGGAGGAAACAGATTTTCTAGATCCATTTCTAATCCAAATTTAGGCCCAGTTTTGGCACACCAACTGCTTGGGTCGCCCTGTATGATGATCTCTGTCGGGAGACAGATAGTGGAAATGTGTCTCTGTTAATTCTCCTTGACCACTCCTTGACTTTCTAGGTCATCAAGACTGCTTCCTCCACCCTTCCCCTCCACTGCAGGAGGAGGAAGAGTCTCTCAGCCTTCTGCACCCACAATTGTTGTCAACATCATCATCATCATAATGATTATTATTATTAAATTTCTATACCACCCTACACCCAAAGGTCTCAGGGCAGTTCACATAAAATATCAAATACATTAAATGAAAACAAAACCAACAACCCAATAACCCCCCCCCCCAAAAAAAAGATCCAGCATTTTTCAAAAGGGTATAATATATAGATCAAGTCAGGCAAAAGCCTGGTTGAAAAGGAATGTTTTTGCCTGGCGCCTAAAGGTGTATACTGAACATGGGTGGGGAAGGTCCCCCCAAATATTTTATTTGGGGGTCCAATAGAAGTTGGCACCTACACTTCTTACCTATTGTTTCCCTAAACTATTTTAATATCAGCAAACATTTTCTTCTATTTTGAGACAGAAGCCTTGACAAATAAAGAATATTCAGAATCTTGGTGTAAATCATGAAATTCTATAAGGAGTTAAATTATTCAGGGGTGTTACTCTTTCACTTACAAGCAGTCCTCACTCTCCCAGATAAGCCCCCTGAGAGAGGGGGGAGGGAGGGAGAGAGAGAGAGAATGTACACATGCACACTTGGCTTTTCCTAAGAGTCTGGGTAAAAGTTGGATCCAGTACATACAGATCATAAAGAGGAAGCAGGAAAGACTATCACTCTTTCAAATTCCTCCTCCAGCTCTATGCACTATTCAAGGGAGAAAAGAGGTAATCCCTCTATTTGCACAAGAGAGGATTTCGGTGTGATCCAGCGGGGCTTTTCTCATATTCATTTTTTATTTTATGAATATTTGGTACAAAATTCTTTTCCAAACATTTGTGTCATAAAATCGGTCTTAAGATAGCTTGGATTCTAATTACAATTCATCAAACACCCTCTCATTTGCATGACCTATGTAAGAATGATTATAGTGTTCAGTTGTATTACATGACTTGCAATCACATTCCAAGGCTATTAGCACATGGTATCACACCCCTTGTTGCTTATTTGTTTTCAATAACTGAGCATATAAAAACAGAGAGTACTGCTGATGTCTCTGAGGAAAGCAAAAAGCCCTTAGAGAAAGAGAGTTGAACCTGACCAGGCAACCTAGAAAGAATTAAGGAGAAAGAGACAGCAAGAGAAGGATGGAGATATGGGCACTTTTGATTGCTCTGCTGGTGGTTCTTCTGATTCTGAACCTCAAGAAACTGCTCTGGTCAAACAGGCATTACCCTCCAGGGCCTCTTAAGCTTCCTCTGATTGGAACCTTGTGGATCCTTGGATTGAAGAGTCATGAAGATACTCTCATTAAGGTACTTACATCTTGGTGATAATTCAGTCTGATTTCACCAATTGCTTTATCTATTTCCCTCAACAATTGTGATATTTCAGCTTAAACAATAGCACCAAATGGTAAATGGTAAATGGTAAATGGTAAATGCCAGAAGCCTCCTTTGTGAGATACAGTAAGATATACAAATAATAGGGATAATACAAAGAATATTATTATTAATACTGAAAAGCACCCTCAAAGAAAGAATGGTTTATGAAAATCTTGGAACATGCAGAGATGGCAAAAATTGATAAAAGATACTAATTTAGAATATTTTAAAGAAGATTGGAAAACATTTGCAGCCTATACAAAAAGTTATTTCCCATATGTAAAGACCACAGCGTGGTTTGAAGTGTAAGAAAACAGCAGAATATATTAAGAAACATGTTGGAGAGAATTAAATTAGATAAGATGGAACTTTAAAATGCAATTGTATGTAATTCAAGTTATAAACATTGATGTTGGGTGAGTGGGAAGTCACTTGTTTTGTTGAATTGGAATATAATTGTTGTATAACAAATATAACTTTCTAAATGGAAAAAAGTGTAATGGGTTTAGGGGTTGCTCGTGCGTAATTTGCCGCCACTCCTGGCTAGGTTACCTGGCTGAACCCTTTCTGTCTGGACAGCCTCTAGCTTCGTGGCTGCCTCAGTCGCTGGCAGAATCCGTCAGTGGGCGTTTCTTGAACTTCTTCCAGCAAAGAGGTTCTTTGACGCCAAGTCTCCTCCTACTCTCCCTGCGCGGAAGTCTTCTGCGCAGGGAGGGTGTGGGCAGTGGAGTACCCGTACTCTCTCCGCTGGTCTCCGGCGAGGAGTCTTGGAGCCTCCTCTCCGATTCCCCCATCTGCCCCCCTTCTCCACTGGTGTTACACTGATTTCCTTCCCCAGCAGATGGGCTGCCTCTCTCCCTACTGGGACCCTCTCCAGCATCCCTCTGGAGCCTTCCCTCCGCCTCTAGCTCCGATGGCAGTTCCCTGACAAAAAGAATAAAATATTATTATATTTAAAAAATAGACTGACCACATAGGTCCTCAGCATTCATTCATGACAGCCTCTCAACATGGAATTAACCTGCAGGTGCTATTCAATTTCTTAAGCCTGGTGTCAGCGATGTTGCTTCACTGACAGGGAATGAGAATGCAGGCATAGAGAGTAAACATATAAGAGTGGTATGCCAAGGGAAGGGAGCAGCAGCAGGGAGCAGCCATAACTTGAGCTCTGAACATACGGAAGAAGCTGCAGGGGTGAGGGAGACTGAAGCTCTTGTATTAAGTTGAAATATCCAACTGCAGTTTTTGAACACATTTCCTCTCCTCTCTTTTGACCCTAATGGTAGTTGGCAAAGCAACATGGAAATATTTTCACCCTATGGATGGGACATCAACCCATGGTAGTACTGTCTGGATTCCAAGCAGTGAAAGAAGCACTCACTGACCACACTGAAGAATTAGACAATCGACCAGAGACTCCTTTCCTTAGGACTATGGCAAAAGGAAAGGGTAAGTAGTGAAGAATAAGAATATCTCCTGGTATTTTCCCAAGAGAAAATGTTTAAAGGGCTGTCCAGAGCAAAGGCTCTCTATTATTGTTGCACTCAAGAGGAAATGGGTTACCTAGGAGTGAACAACTAGGGGCTGAGGTCCTTTCAGTGTCCCCCTAAAATATTTGAGAGGACCACCAGGCTCTCTCTAAGTTCATGACAATTGCCATTCTATTTCCCCCCGCAAAATTTTTTATTGGTTTTTACAATATCAACAACAAACAAAAACATGAGACAAACAAAACATAACAAACATAAATCATAACCTTATTGAAAATAACAGTTATTTACTTTGTAGGACGACTTCCTCGTTTCCCCTTAGTTGAATTTCATTGCATACTTGCCATTCTAGTGGTGGGTGTCAGCCGCATAAAAATAATAATAAATTTTATTTATACCCCACCCTCCCCAGCCAACTCCAGATATAAAATAATTGATTGAAATACAACTTAAAAAACAAGATTAAAATACAACATTAAAATCCAGCCTCATTTCAGCAGAAACTCAAAAACTATTTTGGAGTCTGATTGAAAAAAAAAATCCAGACTGGTCCTATGTGGGCCAGAAAAAAGCCAGGGAAGTCCCCAAGTAGGAGTTCCATCACAGAAGGAGACAGGGGAAAAGAAAGAGGGGGAGGGGATCAAGTTATTTCCAAGCCAAAAGCCAGGCGGAACAACTCTGTCTTACTGTCCCTGCAGAAAGAAATCAGATCCTGCAGGGCCCTGGTCTCATGAGACAGAGTGTTCCACCAGGCCAGAGCCAGTGTTGAAAAGGCCCTGGCTCTGGTTGAAGCCAATCTAACTTCCTTAGGGCTCAGGACCACTAGGGTGTTGCTATTTATGGACCTTAAGTTTCTCCGTTGGGCATACCGAGAGAGGTGGTCCCATAGGTACGAGGGTCCTAGGCCGTGAAGAGCTTTAAAGGTCAAAACCAGCACTTTAAATCTAACCCTGTACTCCATCGGGAGCCAGTGCAGCTGGAAAAGCACTGGGTGAATATGCTCCCACGGCAGGGACCCCGTGAGGAGCCTCGCTGCACCATTCTGCACCTGCTGGAGTTTCTGGGACAGCTTCAAGGGCAGCCCCACGTAGAGCCTGGAGGTGACCGTCGCATGCATCACTGTGGCCAGGTCGGGCCGGGAAAAGTAAGGGACTGCTTGATGCGGTGAAGGTAGAAAATTGTCACCTTGGCTGTTGCTGTAACCTGCACCTCCATGGAAAGGGAGGCGTCAAGGATTACACCCAAACTCTTAATGGAAGGCAATGGCACTAATTGGTCCCCCACAAGAGAAGGCAGTTGGTCCCTCATCCCCATGCCATCCTGACCCAGCCATAGGACCTCTGTCTTCGAAGGCTTTAGTCTCAAACGGCTCCCACGAAACCATCCAGCCACAGCTTCCAAGCATCTGGTCAGTGTGTCTGGGGCCGAGTCGGTGTGGCCATCCATCAGCAGATAGCGCTAAGTGTCATCAGCATATTGGTGATAACGCAGCCCAAAGCTCCGGACAATCTGGGCAAGGGGGCGCATAAAGATGTTAAAAAGCATCTGGGAAAGGATTGCGCCCTGTGGCACTCCACACCAAGGAGTGGCGTGACAACATCTCCCTCCCTGGCGCCACCCTCTGTCCCTGACCAGAGATAAAAGAGCAGAGCTATGCCCTGTATCCCCACGTCAGCGACGCGGTGGTCCAGAAGATCATGTTCAACCTTGTTGAAGGCTGCTGACAAATCTAAGAGAATCAGCGGTCCTGACCCGCCTCAATCCAGTTTTCTATGGAGATCATCTGTTAGGGCAACCAGAGCCGTCTCGCTCCCGAAACCAGGACGGATCCCGGACTGAAATGGATCTAAAGCCGATGTTTCCTCCAGAAACCTACCAAGCTGTTCAGCAACTGCTCTCTCAATTAGATATGAAAGATTTGAAACTGGGCGGTAATTTGATAAATCTAAAGGATCTAGTGAAGTTTTCTTTAAGAGCGGACACACCACTGCTTCCTTCAGCTCCCCTGGGAATGTCCCCGTGCCAAGGGACAAATTGATAATTTCAACCAGGGGGATCCGTGCAACATCTGGGCACACCCTAATCAGCCAAGATGGGCACGGGTCAAGGAGGCAAGTGGTGGGCCTACCAGCTCAGAGGAATCTATCCACATCAGCAGGGAGTATCCGATCGAAATGATCCAACACTGGACCCGAAGACAGTCGAGGGGCCTCCAGTTCTGTCACTGTATCTAAAGTGGCAGGGAGGTCATGGCGGAGCAACAGGACTTTCTCTGCAAAAAAGTTGGCGAATGCCTCACAGCTGTGAGTCGAATTTATGCTTAAATTTGGTTGTCCTCCTAAGGATGTTATTGACCTAATTATTCTAAAAAGTTTTGCCGGGCGAGAGCTAGCGGATGCAATGGAAGGTGCGAAGTAAGATTTCTTAGCAGCTTTCATAGCCATCTCATAGGCTTTCATAAGCATCCTATAAGATGTTCTTGAGGCTCCGTCACGGGTCCGTCGCCATACTCGCTCTAGCCGTCTGAGGTCCCGCTTCATTTTTCGGAGCTCCTAGGTAAACCAAGGTTTCGGCGGGGTTGCAGAGGGCGCTTATGCGCGATCTTATTGATGGCCGCCAAGAACCGGTTATTCCAGTCCTCGACAAGGTCATGTAATGAGTCATCAGGAGAAGCAGAGTCCCGCAAGGCCTGACAGAATCTATCAGGATCCATCAGCCTTCGCGGCGAGCCCAAATAGGCTCGCCACCCGAGCAAAGGAGGAGCGGGAAGTCAATCTTGGCTTTCAGAGTGCAGTGATCAGATCATGTCACTTCCACAGGGGGGAGTATGATCACATCTATGCCAGCACCAAAGATCAAATCCAGCGTGTGGTCTGCTTGATGAGTGGGGCCCAAAACAAACTGGGAGAGCCCTAGTGTTGCCATGGAAGTCATTAGGTCCAGAGCCTGTGAGGAGGGGGCAGCATTGGCATGGACGTTGAAGTCTCCCAAAAGCAATAAGCTTGGGAACTCCAAGGTCCAGCCTGCCGCCACCTCCAGCAGGTTTGACAGGGTGGCTGCCGGTGTGCTGGGTGGTCAGTACACTAGCCAGACAGCCAAGCTCTCCTTGGTGCCCCACACGAGACCAACACATTCAATGCCAGAGATTGCCAGTGCTGGCAGAGCTCTGAAAGAGCAATCCTCATCACTGATTATGTGAGGTGGGGCTCACTTGCCCCCTTCCTCATATTTTATTCAAGTGGCACCCCTGATGGATTGCAACTAGCAAGTGCTTTGTGGAATTAGCAATTGTACCACACTGTGGTTCGATTCAACTGCAGGTAGAAGTTTGTTGCCTGTTGCAATTGTAATGCATTTACTATCCTGGCCCTCAGTGCTGGATGAAGAGCTTGAACTCAAAGTTCTTTCTGCTGAAGGTTTTGATGCCTACATCAGTCTGAATCCTGGTAAGATGAGGGCATGGTGGTTGGAGTCTAGTCAATTGTTCAGTTTATTGCTATGAAAGGGGTTCAACTCCCCCTGAGAGAACAGGTTCATAGACTAGAGGTGCTCCTGGATCCATCTTAGCTGCTAGAGGCCCAGGTGACCTTAGTGCCTTCTGCCAGCTTCAGCTAGCAAGGCAGCTTTGGCTATTAAGACAGCTAAAGTAGTTTCTGGATCAGGATAGCTTAACTACTGTCATCCATGTGCTGGTTACCTCCAGGCTGATTATAGCAATGTGCTGCATTTTGGGCTGCCCTTGAAACAGTGTCTGGCAAAAAAAATGCAGTGGCTTGACTGCTCATGGGGGCAGGACATAGCCAGCATGTTATGCCACTGGCTGACAATTAGCTAAGTTCAAGGTGCTGGTTGAACAAACACCCTGTACAACTTGAGATCAATATATCCCCTTCCAATAAGCTTTTCAGTTTAGATCTTTTTTTTAAATTATTTTTTATTCAATTTCCATTACAAGATTTAAACCTACATTTTCAATATTATCACAAATACATAATTTTGACTTCCTTCAGCTCATCCGTGAATCTTCCGTTTTCTAATCTTCTATCCGCAATTCTAAATTTAACATTGCCTTTTATTTTAAATAAACCTATTCCTTTATTCCCTTTTTTACAGTGTTTCTAATATTATTTCTTCACAAAGCTTCCTGTAAACCCACAAATGTTATTTGCGTATCACAAATGCTTTTCATATAGTCCACAAATTTGCTCCAGTCCTTGGTAAACTTGTGATCTCGTCGGTTTCGGATCCTTCCTGTTAATTCTGCATAGTCCATTAATTTCATTCTCCATTCTTCTATCGATGGTAATTTTTCCTGATTCCATTTTTGGGCCAGTAGTATTCGTGCTGCTGATACTGCATATAAAAATAATTTATGGTCCTTTCTATTTATTTCATTTCCAACCATTCCTAACAAAAAAGCTTCTGGTTTTTTAACACATGTATATATCAACACTTTTTTTAATTCCTTATATATCAGTTCCCAGAAGACTCTCACCTTTTTACACTCCCACCACATATGATAAAATGTTCCCTCTTTTTCTTTACATTTCCAACACTTATTACATACTTTATACATTTTTGCTAATTTCACTGGAGTGATATACCATCTATAAACCATCTTCATCATATTTTCTTTTAATGCAGTACAGGCTGTGAATTTTATCCTTTTGTTCCACAATTTAATCCACTCATCTAATTGTATATTATACCCAAAGTCTGGCCCAATGGATCATAACCGATTTTACCTCTTCGTCTTTCGTATACCATTCTAGCAGCAGTTTATACATTTTAGACAAATTTTGTCATTTCTAATGGAGATAACCAATTGGTATTTTTGGTTCTAATAGGTTTTTATACTGATCCCAGACTTCCAAAAGAGATCTTCAAATGATGTGGTTTTCAAAACCTTTATGTACTTTTTTCTTATCATACCATAAATAAGCGTGCCAACCGAATCTATTATCAATTCCTTCCAAATCCAACAATTCCTTATTCCAGTGTGGCGTAGTGGTTATGAGTGGTGAACTTGTAATCTGGTGAACCGGGTTCGCGTCTCCGCTTCTCCACATGCAGCTGCTGGGTGACCTTGGGCTAGTCACACTTTTCTGAAGTCTCTCAGCCCCACTCACCTCACAGAGTGTTTTTTGTGGGGGAGGAAGGGAAAGGAGAATGTTAGCCGCTTTGAGACTCCTTAGGGTAGTGATAAAGCGGGATATCAAATCCAAACCCCTCTTCTTCTTCTCCTCCTCCTCCAATTTCATCCACTCCTTCAACCAACAGAGGCAAGATGCTTCATAGGATAGTTTCAGGTGCGGCAGGGCGAAGCCTCCTCTTTCTTTCGCATCAGTTAACAATTTAAATTATATTCTTGGCTTCTTTCCCTGCCATATATACCTTGAAATTGTTTTTTGCCATTCCTTAAATATCATTGCCCCTTTGACTACCGGAATTGTCTGAAATAAAAATAACATTTTCAGCAAAACACTCATCTTTATCGTCGAAATTCTTCCCCCAAAAGATAATTTCATCCTTCCCCACACCTCTAGATCTCTTTTTATTCCATTCCACATTGGTATATAGTTATTTTGAAATAAATCAATATTTTTGGGGGTCACCCAAATTCCCAAGTATTTAACTATTCCCACCTCCTCTATCTCTGTCTGTTGTTGCATTCCATTTATCATATCTTGGTCCATATTTTTAGCAATCATTTTAGTTTTCTTCCTATTCAAAATAAATCCTGCCATTTGTCCAAATTGTTCTATTTCCTCCAGTACCTCCTTGACACTTTTTACCGGTTCTTCTACTGTTAATACCAGATCATCGGTAAAGGCTTTAACCTTATATTAATTTCGACCAACTGTTACCCCCTTAATTAACTCATTTTTCCTTACTGAACTCAGGAGTATTTCCAGTACCATGATGAAAAGTAATGGTGAAAGTGGACATCCTTGTCTTGTGCCTTTAGCTATTTTAATATTTTATGTTAACACATTATTTACTATCAATTTTGCTGTTTGTTCTATATAAATTGCTTTAATTCCATTGAAAAACCCTTGACCCACCTAAATTTTCTAAATTTTTTAACATAAATTCCCAAGATATAGTATTGTCAGGGAACTGCCATCAGTGCCGGAGGGAGAGAGCAAGCTCCAGAGGGATTCCAGAGAACGTCCCGGGATTGGGAGAGGCAGCCCATCTTCTGGGGAAGAGAATCAGCGTAGCACCAGTGGAGAAGGGGGGCAGATGGGGGAATCGGCGAGGCGGTCCCATGACTCCTTGCAGGGGACCAGCGGGGAGAGTAAGGGTCCTCCGCTGCCTACGCCCTCCTTGCGCAGAAGGCCTCTGCGTAGGGAGAGTAGGAGGAGACTAGGCGTCAAAGAGCTTCTTTGCTGGAAGAAGTTTAAGAAACACCCACTGACGGATTCTGCCAGCAATTGAGACAGCCACGGGTGAGTGGCTGTCCGGACAGAAAAGGTTCACTCAGGCAACCCAGCCAGGTGTCGGCACCGGCTTACGAACGAGCAACCCCTAGAACCATTACAGCAATCCGTCAGTCCCTGACGTTGCTTGTGCGCAGCCCAGGAGAGGCAGCACAATGAGCCAAACAGGGCCGGCCGGAGAGACAGAGCAAGAAGCCATGGTGCGAGGTCTGGTCGAGAGGAACCGAGACCTGGAGGCGCATGTAGCTACCCTGTCTGCGTGGCTGGAGGAGAGACGGGCTCAGGATGCACAGGTCAGAGCCACCCCGATAGGGAGGAAGGTCCCGGGGCTGGTACACAAGTTTGGTGGAAAGCCCCAAGACTACAATGCCTTCCAAACGGAAATTCAGTACGCTTTGGAATTGCAGAAAAATGACTTTGCGGATGACGGGGAGAGGGTGGCTTACATTGTGGGACATCTGCAGGATGGGGCACGCGAATGGATCAGGCCCCTAATGGCGATGCAGAATGATGCATTGAAAGATCTTAAGAAATTCTACCAGGGAATGGACGCGATGTTCTCCAGCGAGGTTGAGCAAAGCGTGACACGGCGGGAGCTGATGGAGTGCAAGCAGGGGGGGCCTGTCCGTCAGAAACTACTGGTCACATTTCGTGATGTTAGTCCACAAGCTCGGGTGGGATCTGGACTCTGAACCAATGCAAATGTTGTTTGAAGCGGGTTTGTCCCCCGAAGTGAAAGACGAATTGTCCCGAGCGCCCCACCCGCGGTCGATGGATGAACTCACAAAGACTGTGCTTGCGATCGGTGTACGCCAGGAAGCGTGGGCTCAGGAGAAGCGGGAGATAAGGGCAGAACGTTTCCATGACAACCGCATTCCGGAGATGCCGAAGGAGCCTTCCCAGGCGGCGAAGCCGATGGAAATTGATGGAGCGCGTGCGCGCGAAGTTTCAAAAGCTGGTGAAGGTCAGAAAAGGGAGGGGAAGGAGTGGAAAACTACCAAGAAGTGTTTCCTCTGTCAGCGACCGGGACATTTTGCAAAGGTCTGCCCTCAACGAAAAGCCTGGCAAGGCATGATGGGGGCTGCAGGCCACGACGAGAAGGGGGAGGAAGGGCTGGCGCAGGGAAACGACAACGCCTGGCTGCCAACCAGCGGGGCCAGCAGCCAGGTCAGCAACCAATAGAAGTGCCCCAGCCTGACCCCCCCCAAGGCAGCTATAGCCATAGAGGTGGTGCTAGAACTCCCAAATGGGCACTCCGTCAAAGTGGAGGGACTGCTAGATTCTGGCAGCTCGTGTAATTTCTTCAGCAGAGACTTCACTCTGGAGCACTAACTCCACCTGTTGCCACTAGATTTTCCCTTGCAGGTGACCACCATCGATGGCAGGGAACTCCTGGGAGGGGAAGTGACACACCAGACACCGCCAATGCGAATGAGGGTCTCCAGGCACACGGAAACCATTGCCCTTCACGTGGCCACGCTGGCAGGACCCCCAATAATACTGGGAATGAGCTGGCTGGCAATACATGACCCAGTGGTGTCATGGCATCAGCGGTCAGTCACCTTTGGGTCAGCTTACTGCTTAGAACACTGTCTGGGAGGGAAGGAACCAAGAATGACTGTGGCCAGGGTGGCTGGGTTGGCCCTGGAGCAAAAAGGGGAGGTGCCACCACAATATGCTGATTTGAAGGAGGTCTTCAGCAAGATGGAGGCAGATAGACTGCCCCCCACAGGCCCTTTGACTGCCAAATCAACCTGCTTCCAGGGGCTCAGTTACCAGTGGTTAAGCTGTATGCCATGTCCGACCGGGAGATGCAGGAGCTGCGGCAGTTTATTGACAAGAACCTGAAAAGAGGTTTCATAAGGGAATCAAAGGTGGTGGGGGGCAGTCCAGTGTTCTTTGTGGACAAAAAAGAGACTAATCAGCCCAGATTAGTCGTGGATTACCGGGCCCTAAACCTGGTGTCAGAACCCGTGACTTTCCCAATGCCAAGGATTGACGATATTTTGACACGGGTGAGGCAGGGGAAGATTTTTACCAAGCTGGACCTCAGGGGAGCATACAATTTGATTAGGATAAGGGAGGGGAACGAATGGAAAACTACCATGTTCATCCCCCTGGGGTTTTTTGAGTACTTAGTCATGCCATTTGGATTACAATCAGGGTCTGCCTGCTTTCAGGCCTTCATGCACCATGTGTTGGGGCCCCTGCTGTACAAGAATTGCGTAGCCTTTTTGGATGACGTCTTAATCTATTCGGACAATGAAAAGCAACACGTCAGAGACGTCAGGGAGGTCCTACAGAGATTGAAGAAGCATCAGTTGTGGGTCAAGCTGGAAAAATGCCAATTCCACGCCAGGGAGGTCGAGTTCCTGGGGTACAGGTTGTCAGACAAAGGACTAGCCATGGATCCGGGCAAAGTGAAGGCAGTGCTGGAATGGAAAGCCCCCCAAAACAGAAAGGATGTGCAGAGGTTCCTAGGCTTCAGCAACTTCTACAGGAAGTTCATAAAGAACTTCGCCCACTTGACAGCGCCCATAACGGATTGTCTTAGTAGCAAAAAGAAGTTTGCGTGGACAGAGGGTGCGCAGCAATCCTTTGAAAAACTGAAGAAGGTGTTCGCCTCGGAAGAGCAGCTCCTGCACGTGGATCCGGAGAAGCCCATGAGACTGGAGACAGACGCTTCCGACCCTGCCATTGGAGCAGTCCTTTTGCAGCCCGGGGCCAAGCAGAACTGGAGGCCGTGTGCCTTTTTCTCGAGGAAGCTGAGCAAATCAGAGCAAAACTACACAGTGTATGACCGAAAACTGCTTGCGATCTATGCGGCATTTCGGCAATGGAGACATCTATTGATAGGGGCGCAGCACAAGATCCAGGTCCAAACTGACCACAAGAACTTGGAATACTGGCGGACCGCGAGAGTGCTCAACCAGAGACAGATCAGATGGTCCCAGGAGTTCGCCAAGTTTTCCTTCAAGATCCGATACATGCCGGGAGAGGAAAACGTAAGGGCAGATGCTCTCTCCCGGAAACTGGAGTACATGGAAGGAGAGGGGCCACCAGAGACCAGGCACGTGTTCCCCGAGGACCGGTGGGTGTGTGGGGGAGCGTTGGTTGGGAAACGAGAACTGGCAGGGCTCACCAGAGACAATGAGTTTGCTCAGACAAAAATCGGGGAACTCAGGGACGGAAAGGAAGTCAATGGAGGATTTGAGGAAAAGGAAGGGCTACTGTACTATAAGGGGGCGCTGTATGTACCGGGGGAGACTTTGAGGGGGAAGGTACTTAGACAACTCCATGACAACCCAACAGCTGGGCACTTTGGACAGCACAAGACCATGCTACTTGTCACCAGGCAGTTTTGGTGGCCAAAGGTGAGGGAAGACGTATGAGAATATGTACGAGGGTGTGACAGATGCCAGAGGGCTAAGGGGGAAAGGGCTGCCCCCGCGGGGTTACTGGAACCCTTACCCACACCGGAAAAGCCCTGGGAGGTGGTGTCCATTGATTTTATGACAGATCTGCCCGAGTCAAGGGGAAAGACAGCGGTCATGGTAGTAGTCGATCTACTGACTAAAATGTGCCATTTCGTAGCTTGCTCACATGCAGCAACGGCAGAGGAGACAGCCAGGCTGTTTGTGGATCACATTTTTAGACTGCATGGGGCTCCTTCAAGAGTAATCTCGGATCGCGGGAAACAATTTACTTCCCGGTTCTGGCGGAAGCTCATGAGCTTGCTACAGGTCGGGGTGAGCTTCTCGATGGCGAGGCACCCAGAAACCAACGGACAAGCCAAAAGAGCGAACGGTATACTCCAGCAATACCTACGCTGCTATGTCAGCAAGAGACAGAACGATTGGGTAGAGAAATTAGCTTTGGCTGAATTGGCGTACAATAACGCTGAACACGTGTCCACGGGAATGAGCCCTTTCATGGCCAATTACGGGTGTCACCCCAGGGCCTTCCCAGGGCGGGGGGAGGAAGGATGGAGTGTACCTGCGGCTGAGCAATTTGTGGAGGAAATGGAGGCCTTACACCAGCAACTCAGGCTGAACTTGGAGCGGGCCAAGGAAGTTTACAAGAGGCAGGCGGACAGGCACCGTTGGGAGGGGGAGGCCATACGGGTGGGAGACCGGGTGTGGTTGTCATCCCACGGGTTGCCCCTAAAGGGAGGGTGCAAGAAGTTGCAGCCGAGGCGGCTGGGGCCTTTTGAGGTAATACAGCAGATTAACCCAGTGGCATTTAAACTCAAGTTGCCTGACAGCATGAAGATACATCCGGTGTTCCATAAGTCCCTACTTTCACCTTACAGGGAGGGGCGGGAATTCCCGGGACGGGAGGGAGGGGTGACCACCCACCCGCGGGTAGAGGAGAGGGAACACTGTAACGAAGCCATGGAAATACTCGATTCAAGGTGGCGAGGTCGCCAGGTAGAGTACTTGGTAGCCTGGGAGGGGGAACCTAGGTCGGAAAACACGTGGGTCCCTGATGAATCAATCACTGATGGGTATCTGGTGGAAGAATTCCACAGTTTGTTCCCGGATAAGCCCAAACCATTATCTAGATTCTGGGAGGAAGAATTTGGACCCACAGACGACGAAGGGGACTTTGTGGGTTTTCCTGCCTCCGAAGAGGAGGGAGAGGAGGTGTCCGAGGGAGAAGAATCAGACTGGGAGGTTCAACCAGCGGGAAGAGATCCGAGCAGATGAGAGGCTGGTTTTGAATCCTCAGAAGATGAACACAGCTCCTTCAGGGGATTCCCCGCATCGTCGGCCGAGGAGAGAGAGGAGGTTGTATCGGAAAATCGCGCCGGGGTGGGTGGGGTCCTGAGGAGGAGGTGGATGTCAGGGAACTGCTATCGGTGCTGGAGGGAGAGAGCAAGCTCCAGAGGGATTCCAGAGAGCGTCCCGGGATTGGGAGAGGCAGCCCATCTTCTGGGGAAGAGAATCAGCGTAGCACCAGTGGAGAAGGGGGGGCAGATGGGGGAATCGGCGAGGCGGTCCCATGACTCCTTGCCGGGGACCAGCGGGGAGAGTGAGGGTCCTCCGCTGCCTACGCCCTCCTTGCGCAGAAGGCTTCCGCGCAGGGAGAATAGGAGGAGACTAGGCGTCAAAGAGCTTCTTTGCTGGAAGAAGTTTAAGAAACGCCCACTGACGGATTCTGCCAGTGATTGAGACAGCCACGAGTGAGTGGCTGTCTGGACAGAAAAGGTTCACTCAGGCAACCCAGCCAGGTGTTGGCACCGGCTTACGCACGAGCAACTCCTAGGACCCTTACAATTATCAAAGGCCTTTTCTGCATCCACAAATATTAGCATAGCTTGTTTATCATTCCTGGCATTCAGATATTTTCAGTTTAGATCTTTCTTAGTTTTGCTTCTTTTCAGCCCTCGGTTCCTCTGCGAGGATGAGTGGAATATAAATGTAATAATAAATACAGTCAAACCTCAGATCTCGAATGCCTCCATTTTGGAATGTTTTGGCTCCCAAATGCTAAAAAACCCAGAAGTAAATTCTCTGTTTTTTTTTAATGTTTTCTGGAAGCGAACATCCAATGCAGCCGCCAATTTAGTGCAGGAAGCACCTGCAACCAATCGGGAGCCGTGCCTCAGTTGAATAGATTATGTTCGACAACCAAGATTTGAAATAATAATAATAATACCATCCTCCTTCATGGATCACTGCCTTGCCGTGGGGAAGGGGTTTGAAGTGGAGAGGGAGACCTCTGTAAGGCTTCCTTTGATCTCTAGAGTGAACTGTAATTCTTGTGTCAATTAATTGTTATTGATTTTCCAGAAATTTTAAGAAATTGACAGCAAATTAATTCAAATTTACAACAAATGTAAAAGTTGATTATCTTCCACTCCCCGTTCAAGACGTTAGCAGCAAAGGAATGAGAGAAAAGAAACTATAATATACTTTCCCCTCATTTCTGCTACTTTTCCATCCTTTCCTCAATTTCCACTGGCTGTGCATATTTATATTCCTGCTTAGATTTTCATATAACTATAACATTTCTTCCCCTTCATGGATCACTGCCTTGCCATGGCGAAGGGGCTTGAAGAACTCAGAGAAGCTATGAACTATGCCGAGCAGGGCACCCAAGATGGACAGGTCATAGTGGAGAGTTTTGACCAAACGTGATCCACCTGGAGCAGGAACCAGCAAGCCACTCCAGTACACCGCCAAGAAAACTCCATGGACAAAGACAACAGGCACATAAAAGTTATGACACTGGGAGATGAGCCCCTCAGGTCGGAAGGCGTCCAACATGCTACTGAAGAAGAGCGGAGGACAAGTACAAACCAAAAGGTCGCTCAGTTGCGGATATGCCTGGAAGCGAAAGGAAAGTCCAATGCTGTAAAGAAAAATATTGCATAGGAACCTGGAATGTAAGAACCATGAACCCGGGTAAGTTGGATGTGGTCAAAAATGAGATGGCAAGAATAAATATTGACACCCTGAGCATCAGTGAACTAAAATGGACGGGAATCGGCGAATTCAGTTTGGATGACTATCATATCTACTATTGTGGGCAAGAATCCCGTAAAAGAAATGGAGTGGACCTCATAGTCAACAAAAGAGTGGTGAAAGCTGTACTGGGATACAATCTCAAAAATGATAGAATGATCTCGATACGAATCCAAGGCAGACCTTTTAACATCACAGTGATCCAAGTTTATGCACCAACTACTGGTGCTGAAGAAACTAAAATTGACCAATTCTATGAAGACTTACAACACCTTCTAGAAATGACACAAAAGAAGGATGCTCTTCTCATTATAGGGGATTGGAATGCTAAAGTAGGGCGTCAAGAGATAAAAGGAACAACTGGCAAGTTTGGCCTTGGAGATCAAAACAAAGCAGGGCAAAGGTTAATAGAGTTCTGTCAAGAGAACAAGCTGGTCATCACAAACATGCTTTTCCAACTACACAAAAGAAGACTCTACACATGGACATCACCAGATGGGCAGCATCGAAATCAGATTGATTATATTCTCGGCAGCCAAAGATGGGGAAGCTCTATACAGTCAGCAAAAACAAGACCCGGAGCTGACTGTGGCTCAGATCATCAGCTTCTTATAGCAAAATTCAAGCTTAAACTGAAGAAAGTAGGAAAAACCACTGGGCCGGTAAGATACAATCTAAATCAAATCCCTTATGAATATACAGCGGAAGTGAGGAACAGGTTTAAGGACTTAGATTTGGTGGACAGAGTGCCTGAAGAACTATGGATGGAGGCTCGCAACATTATACAGGAGGCAGCAACGAAAACCATCCCAATGAAAAGGAAATGCAAGAAAGCAAAGTGGCTGTCCAACGAGGCCTTACAAATAGCGGGGGAGAGAAGGCAAGCAAAATGCAAGAGAGATAGTGAAAGAAACAGGAAATTGAATGCAGATTTCAAAAAAAAACAGCAGGGAGAGACAAGAAGGACTTCTTAAACGAGCAATGCAAAGAAATAGAGGAAAACAACAGTAAGGGAAGAACCAGAGATCTGTTCAAGAAAACTGGAGATATGAAAGGAACATTTCGTACAAAGATTACCATAATAAAAGACAAAAGTGGAAAGGACCTAATAGAAGCAGAAGACATCAAGAAGAGGTGGCAAGAATACACAGAGGAATTATACCAGAAAGATATGGATGGCTCATAGTGTGGTTGCTGACCTTGAGCCAGACATCCTGGAGAGTGAAGTCAAATGTGCCTTAGAAAGCACTGCTAATAACAAGGCCAGTGGAAGTGATGGTATCCCACCTGAACTATTCAAAATTTTAAAATATGATGCTGTTAAGGTGCTACACTCAATACGCCAACAAGTTTGGAAAACTCAGCAGTGGCCAGAAGATTGGAGAAGATCAGTCTACATCCCAATCCCAAAGAAAAGCAGTGCCAAAGAATGCTCCAACTACTGCACAATTGCACTCATTTCACACGCTAGCAAGGTTATGCTTAAAATTCTACAAGGAAGGCTCAAGCAGTATGTGGACCGAGAACTCCCAGAAGTGCAAGCTGGATTTAGAAGAGGCAGAGGAACCAGAGACCAAATTGCAAACATGCGCTGGATTATGGAGAACGCTAGAGAGTTCCAGAAAGACATCTACTTCTGCTTCATTGACTATGCAAAAGCCTTTGACTGTGTCGACCACAGCAAACTATGGCAAGTTCTTATAGAAATGGGAGTGCCTGATCACCTCATCTGTCTCCTGAGAAATCTCTATGTGGGACAAAAAGCTACAGTTAGAACTGGATATGGAACAACTGATTGGTTCAAAATTGGGAAAGGAGTACAACAAGGCTGCATATTGTCTCCCTGCTTAACTTATATGCAGAATTCATCATGCAAAAGGCTGGGCTGGATGAATCCCAAGCCAGAATTAAGATTGCCGGAAGGAATATCAACAACCTCAGATAGGCAGATGACACAATATTGATGGCAGAAAGTGAGGAGGAATTAAAGAACCTTTTAATGAGGGTGAAAGAGGAGAGCGCAAAATATGGTCTGAAGCTCAACATCAAAAAAACGAAGATCATGGCCACTGGGCCCATCACCTCCTGGCAAATAGAAGGGGAAGAAATGGAGGCAGTGAGAGATTTTACTTTCTTGGGCTCCATGATCACTTCAGATGGTGACAGCAACCACGGAATTAAAAGACTCCTGCTTCTTGGGAGAAAAGCAATGACAAACCTAGACAGCATCTTAAAAAGCAGAGACATCACCTTGCCAAGAAAGGTCCGTACAGTAAAAGCTATGGTTTTCCCAGTAGTGATGTATGGAAGTGAGAGCTAGACCATAAAGAAGGCTGGTCACAGAAGAATTGATGCTTTTAAATTATGGTGCTGGAGGAGACTCTTGAGAGTCCCATGGACTGCAAGAAGATCAAACCTATCCATTCTGAAGGAAATCAGCCCTGAGTGCTCACTGGAAGGACAGATCGTGAAGCTGAGGCTCCAATACTTTGGCCACCTCATGAGAAGAGAAGACTCCCTGGAAAAGACCCTGATGTTGGGAAATTTGGAGGGCACAAGGAGAAGGGGACGACAGAGGACGAGATGGTTGGATAGTGTTCTTGAAGCTACCAGCATGAGTTTGACCAAACTGTGGGAGGCAGTGGAAGACAGGAGTGCCTGGCGTGCTCCGGTCCATGGGATCACGAAGAGTCGGACACGACTAAATGACTAAACAACAACAACAAAACTGTCCGAGACTGCTTCTTGTGTGGGAGAGCCTACCAACCTGACAGCTTGTCAAATCTCTCTTCTCTCACACACCGAGGGACAATAGAGAGCAGAATGCAAGGGCAAGTACCTGAGGGTGTGGACACAATGGGGGCTGGAGCAGCGGGAGTGGGGGCAGGAGAGCCCAGGGGTGCCATAAATGAACTGCAGCAGTACAGCTGACAGCTGAAATCACAGCTAGATACCCTCACCGGGCCCTCGGCGAAGAAAGACTGCATTTAGAGGCAGAAAGGACTCTCAGAGCCTGTAAAATGCCTGTTTCCAACCCCTCTAAATACGCAGGTTACCTGGCGGACTATCTTGCCTTTAAAACGAAGCTCTCTATTTTCTGGACGTGAGAGCAGTGGATTTTAAGTCTGATAAGGAGAGAGTGTTAGGATATTTCCGTTCCACCTTAAAAAGGGAGCAGGTTGTTGTGTCACAGCCTGCGTATTTCCTGTTCACAGGATGTTTTCTGTTTCGTTCTCTCTCTCTGTGCCTGAGACATCGAAGCAGGCAGTCATGTTTTTTCTTTGTTCTGACCAACGCTGAATAAAGTTGTAAATAATGCTCTCCTGAGTGCATCTTTCGTTGTGCGAACTCTGCTGAAAGAGCATGCAACAGCCTTGGAATGTGGCATGTTATTTCTGAGGCTCGTGTCGCTACTTGACTGATACTGTATCTACGGGAGATCAATGGATCGTCCGGAGACGGCGTGGGGGCATGATGGCCTTTGTCTCCCTTAATATTAATACTAAAGTTGTTCTAATATTTGTAGATGCAGAGAAAGCGTTTGATAACATTTCTTGGAGCTTTATGAAGAAAAATCTGCAGGGGATGGGGGTAGGCCAAAGTTTCGAAAATGGTATAAGTGCAATTTATTCGGAACAAAAAGCTAAGCTTATTGTGAATAATGTAGTTACAGAAGAATTTAAGATAGAGAAAGGAACAAGACAGGGTTGCCCAATCTCCCCATTGCTTTTTATATCGGTCCTCGAGGTTTTGCTCAATATGATTAGAAAAGACCAATTGGTTAAAGGTATACAACTCGGAGCTAAACAGTACAAATTGAAAGCTTTCGCGGATGATTTAGTTTTGACAGTACAGGAGCCAGAAGCTAGTACAAAAAGAGTGTTACAATTAATACAAGAATTTGGTCAAGTAGCAGGTTTTAAATTAAATAAGATGAAAACCAAGGTATTAGAGAAAAATCTTACAGAGATAGAGAAGGAGAGGTTTCAGAAAGAGACAGGATTAACAATTGTTAATAAAGTGAAATATCTAGGGGTGAATATGACTGCCAAAAATGTGAATCTGTTTAAAGATAATTATGAAAAATGTTGGTCAGAGGTGAAGAAGGATTTAGAAATATGGTCAAAATTGAAGTTATCATTGTTGGGCCGAATTGCAGCGATAAAGATGAATGTATTGCCTAGAATGTTGTTTTTGTTTCAAACACTACAAATTGTGGATAAAATGGACTGCTTCAAGAGGTGGCAAAGAGATATTTCCAAATTTATCTGGCAGGGCAAAAAGCCCAGAATAAAATTTAAGATACTAACAGATGCAAAGGAAAGAGGGGGTTTGCCCTGCCAGATCTTAAACTTTACTATGAATCAGCCGCTTTTTGTTGGCTGAAAGATTGGCTACTTCTTGAAAATGTGGACATTTTAGATTTAGAAGGTTTCGATAATGTGTTTGGGTGGCATGCATATTTATGGTACGACAAAGTCAAAGCGCATAAGGCCTTCAAGAATCATATTGTCAGGAAAGCATTATTCAATGTTTGGGTGAGATATAAGGATTTGTTGGAAAGTAAAACACCAAGGTGGCTGTCACCAATGGAGGCTAAGGCTTTGAAAAAAACAAATATGGAGACAAACTGGCCAAAATATTGCGAAATTTTAGAACAAGTCGGAGATAAACTAAAATTGCAGAGCTTTGACAAATTAAAAACTAAAGTCCGAGATTGGCTGCATTATTATCAAATAAGGGAGGTTTTTAACTTAGACAAAAAGATAGGTTTCCAGGAGGAAAAATCTAAACTGGAAACGGAATTGTTAGAACCTAAAACCAAAAATCTGTCAAGAATGTATAATCTGCTGTTGAAATGGAATACACAGGATGAAATGGTTAAATCTGCTATGATCAAATGGGCGCAAGATGTGGGGCATAATATTATGTTTGCTGACTGGGAACGGTTATGGACCACAGGTATGAAATTTACGGCCTGTAACGCCTTAAGAGAAAATATAATGAAAATGATATACAGGTGGTACTTAACCCCAGTCAAGCTAGCAAAAATTTATCATTTGCCTGATAATAAATGTTGGAAATGTAAAGAAAATGAAGGTACTTTCTTTCACCTTTGGTGGACGTGCCCAAAGATCAAGGCCTTCTGGGAAATGATATATAATGAACTAAAAAAGGTATTGAAACATACTTTCTTGAAGAAACCAGAGGCTTTCCTCTTGGGCATGGTCGGCCAATTGGTGCGAAGGGAAGATAGGAATTTCTTTATGTATGCGACAGCAGCAGCAAGAATACTCATTGGGAAATACTGGAAGACACAAGAATTGCCCACCCGAGAAGAATGGCAGAGAAAAGTGATAGACTATATGGAACTGGCTGAAATGACCGGCAGAATTCGAGATCAAGAAGAAGGGTCGATGGAAGAAGATTGGAAAAATTTAAAACATATCTTCAGAAATACTGTAATATAAAAGAATGTTAGAAAAGGTTGGAGAAGAATGTTAGATCGTATTGGCAGACAGAGTATAATGGAATAAGTAAATATGAAGTGTAAAATAAAAGATAGAGGAGAATTAAATATTTTTGAATGTTAAAATAAGTAAATGAAAAGAAGGTTAGAAGGGTTTGCTGGAGATACGATTCAAATTAGAATACAAAGCAGAGAAGTGAGAGGAAGTCACGGAAATAAGTAAATGGGAAAACGGTTCTAATGGTTTAATTTGATTTTTGTTATTTTTGTATTGTGATTTTTGTCTTTTGTATTTTTTTTCTGTATCGTGTGTTGTTCTTTTTCTGTAGGATGTATGTGATTTGTTTTTCTTTTTTTGCTTTTTTCTTTCTATGTAATCTTAAAATTGGAATAAATATTCTTTAAAAAAAAATGATGGCCTTTGTCTCCCTGGCAGTATCCCAACAGAGAGTGCCATATTTAATTGGCATGATAGAAGGCAATGCTAAAGGATGGACAATTCCTCTAATGGCAGCCAAGCACCGCACCCTCTCAAACCTGGGGGAGTTTTTGGAAACTATGGATGGAATCTTTAATGATCCGCTGCAGAATGCTACCTCTGCACAACAACCGTTAAACCTTCACCAGGGGAGTGATTCTGTCTCCACGTTATGGACTGCATTCAACTTGTTAGTTCAAAAGCTTGGGTGGCAAGCAAACAGTCAGCTTTTGGCAGCCATGTTCTGGGTGGGGTGGAACGAATTGATATTAGATGAACTGGCGAGAATGCTGCCCATGGACTCTTTGGATGATGTGGTCCGAGCTTCACTGAAGCTTGGACTGAGGCAGTAGCAGTGGAAGTTGGAGAAGAGGGGGCAAGTACGACCCATGTTTGTGAAAAGCCACATTCCTAACATGCCTGAGCAGAGAGTTGGCAGCATGCCCAGATAGGGAGACTTTCCAGAGCAGATGCAACTGGGCTCAGCAGGGAGGGGGAACCCTGGAACAGCTTGGCTGGAGGGGGGCCAACGTCACAAACGTTGCTTTGCATGTGGGCAAACTGGACATTTGGCAAGACAGTGTCCAAGCAAGAAGACTGGGGGTTTTCTGTCTGGGGCTTGTGTAGAGGGACGTCCAAAATCTAAGGAAGCACTGGTGGGAAACGGGAAGCCCCAGTCCATGAAGGAGGCCGGCAGCTGGGAAGGAAGTCAGTAAAGAGCCCTCAGATTGAAACAGCGGTTCCTGGGATCGTGGTGCCAGTGACACTACAACTCCCAGACAGCTGCAGGGTGCAGGTCTAGGGACTCATAGACTCAGGGGCTTCCGTGGACTTTTTAGACTCAGACTTTGTGGAGCAGCAGAAGCTGGGCACACAGCGACAAGAAGCCCCATTGGAAGTGCAACTAATTGATGGCAGGCCATTGGTGGGGAGGCAAGTTGCCTATGCCACATGGCCCATGGGGGTGGAGTTGTCAGGCCACAAGGAGACAATGATGTTTCACATCACCACGTTAGCTCACAAAGCATGATCCAGTAATAGCATGGGGGCAGCGTTCTTTAACGTTTGATTCAGCTTACTGCCAAGCACACTGCTTAGGGTTCGAAGCGCCAATAGAGGTAGGAGCCAAGGGGCAGAGGTAGGGGGGGAAACTCATGGGGGAGGAGAGCTCCATACCCCCACAGTATAAGGCCTATAGGGATGTGTTCTGTGAAAAAGGAGGCAGATAAGTTACCCACCCCACAGACCTCATGACTGCAAAATAAACTTGGTGCCTGGTGCCAAGATACCCACCTATACCCATCTATATTCCATGCCGGAAGCAGAATTAGCCAATTTGCGGGAGTTTCTGAAGAAGAACTTGGAACGTGAGTTTATTAGGCTGTCATGAGCACCTGGTGGGTCACCAGTGTTCTTTGTGAACAAGAAAGACACCCCAGAAAGATGTCTCGTGGTGATCTACAGAAAAACCAAGAGCCTCATGATTCCTAGTCAATACCCCTTGCCACATATTGGTGACCTGCTGGAGAAGTTAAGGTCGGTGAAATTTTTTCCAAGCTGGACCTGAGGGGGGCATACAATTTGATACATGTGAGACAAGGAGACAAGTGGAAAATGGCTTATAATACCAGATTTGGAAGCTTTGAATACTTAGGTATGCCTTTGGGGCTACAATTGGGCACGGCCACATTCCAGGTGTTCATCAATCATGTACTGGCAGATTTATTGGACAATACAGTTTTGTGTTACCTAGATGACGTGCTGATCTACTCTGAGAACCCAGAAGAGCACATGTGACACGTGACGGAGGTGCTGCATAGACTAAGGACACACCACCTCTATGCGAAATTGGAAAAGTGCCAGTTTCATGTCAAGGGGGTGGAATTTGGGGTTATCACGTCTGTCCTGAAGGGGTGTACATGGACCTAGCCAAGGTGCAGGCAGTGTTAGATTGGCAGAAGCCAAAGACTAAGAAAGACTTACAGAGATTCTTAGGCTTTGCTAATTATTACCACAAGTTCGTGCCCAATTATTCTTGGCTCATGGCTTTCCTTACAGACTGCTTGAGAGCAAGAAGCCGTTGTTCTGGACAGAGGAGGCACAAGATGCATTTGAGAAGCAGCGGAGGAGTACCTGCACCACACAGATCCACATCGGCCAATGGTGGTGGAGAGGGGTGCGTCAGAAAGTGCCATAGGAGCTGTGTTGCTACAAGAAGACCGTAACGGAGATTTGAGGCTGTGTGCCTTCTACTCCCAAAAGTTGAACGCTTCAGAACGGAATTACACCATTTGGGAGAGAGAATTGCTCACCATAAAAGAAATGCTGGGGGTGTGGAGACATTTCCTCAAAGGAGCACAACACCAAGTGGAGGTACACGGACCACAAGAACTTAGAACACTGGCAAATGGCGAGGCATCTGAACCAGAGGCAAATTAGATTGGCACAGTTTTTTTGCTCTTTTCGACTTCCGAATCTGATACATGCCGGGGCACCAGAACCAGAGGGTGGATGTCCTGTCCCGGAAGCTGGAGTATCTGGAGGGAGAGTCAGCCACCGGGCTGAGGCATATTCTGAAACCAGAACAGTTACAGCTGGTGGCAGCTCCCATAGTTGAAACTGCAGACTTCAAGAGACAGATGGAAGTGGATTGGGACTTCCGGGGTGGCGTCATCGGCAATGGCAGACTCCCTCCGAACTGGAGGGACCAGCTCCGCATGAAACGGATCTCTTCCGCTGCGGCAAAGCGGGGACCCTTCTGGAAATCACAGGCGGATGAAGCCTGTGACCGTGGGACTCGGCGGGCACCCTTAGCGCCCCCCCCAACCCACAAAGGAACCCACAAACGGGCTCCAAAGCGAAGAGGGGGAAGTGGCGCGGTGCTGTGAGTCAATCGCTTTTCCTGCGGAGCGAAGCCTCATAGCCGTTGCCGGAGAGCGCTGCCTTTTTCCTGGACAATTTGGCATCTAAAATAACCAACCGTGAGTACTGGAACATTGAATATCTGGACTTTAAATAAGAACTGGAGAAATAGAAAGGAATTTGGACTTAAAAATTTACCCTAATTTGGTACTGAAACGGAAAGGTTTAAACAGGAAGTCAGCCTTCCGTTTCCCTGTAGCCAGAACAAAGCAAAGACAACGCAAACTAGAGCTTTAAAAATCACTCTTAAAGGATTGACTTTCATCATTTAAAATCGCTGAATCCCCCTTCGGTAGCAGGAGAAGAAGGGGAGCTTTTTCGAGCTGTTTAAACCTGCAGAAGTGAATCTAAAGCAAAGTAATTTTCCACCGTCCTGATCCTGGAGCGGGGTGTCAGAATTGACGTTTGAAGCTCACTGACCAGAAACAAATGTCTTTGACAGATAGTTAAAAGAAGAGAAACATAGTGACTCCATTGCTCCCTTTCGCATCTTAAAAGAACAAATATGGACAAAATATATTAAAAAAGAAACTTTGTTGCTATTGTTTTTAAGAGAAAGAACAATCAGAACTTTTTCACCCTAGAGGGGAACTGTGAAATTGTAACTAATCCCTGGGAGCTTGCAGCTGTCACTGATTACAACCGTGGGAAAGGGTTTGTGACCTTGCAGGACAATGTCTGCAGAAGCACTGTTGGGTGCTTTCTGCAAAATAAATGCCCTATTGGATCAGTTAAGCCAGAAGACGGATTTGATGACGAATGCGGCCAGAACCTTTGAACAGGTAGTGGGAAACTATATGGAGCCCACCCAGGAACTAAAACAGGAGCATGCCATGACAGAACAGCTGAGAGATGAGGATTCTGCTGAATCTTGGGCGCCAGAGACGGAAGGAGCTGCGGCCCAGCAGGAATATAAATTTTTGGATTTGACAAATGAACTTGGAAAAGACCAGACTTGGAAAGAAAAAATTTGGTTTGGTTTGGAAATGGGGGGGTGGATAGACCCCCCCTATACAGGGAGATTTGGACTTTTCGAGTCTGGAAAGGGGCCGTCAGATGTCTGGAGCAGTGGGGGCTTTCAACTTTGAAGGAAATCTGGAACATGTTTTTAAATACTACATTGAGTCTAGTCTGGACTATGGAAAAGGGACTGTTTTGTTGAAAAGGGTCAAAAACATTACCAAGCTGGAGTTCCCACGAATAAAAGGAAAATATGAAGAAGAGCGGTGGAAGGGACATGGAAGAGACTTGAGGGCCTCAGATATAAGATTGCCAGGTTAATGTGCTAGATTAATAGGACAAAAAGGACTGACAAAACCCGGGACCAGGAGGAAGGGAGGCTGGAGGAAGTTTGGATTGCTTAAGTTTCTATTTCTATCATTAGGACTGTTTTACAAAATTGATGAATGTTAGGAAAATGTTGAAATGAAATTATTTGGCTCTTATAAAAATGTTTAAAGAATTAGGTAAGAATGTTATGGTTAGGAGAAGTTGGTAAAAATTAAGATTTAAGTTTTAAACTTTTTTTATATATAAGATAAGATGAAAATAGACTAAGGTAATGTAAGGACATAATATTATGAATTATGGAAAGGATTTGCTGTGACTATTATAAATCAGGATACAGGAAAAGGGAGGAGGAGGAGGTCAAGGAAAGAAGGTATTGAAAGTGGAGAATTGGAGAATGATGGTTTTACTTTTCTTTTTCTTTTTTTGTCTTGTTTCTTTTTTTTGTGTGATTTTAAAAAAATTTCTCAATAAATATCATTTAAAAAAAAAAAAAGGAAGTGGATCGAATAGTACTCTTCCAATCCTGTATGATGACTTTATCTCCCCCCAAAAAATTCCAACCATTCCTCCATGTTTAAAAACAATAAATCCTTCATTTTTATTTTAACAGGAAACTCTCCTCTGTAGTCTTTTATTTTAAAATAATCCATAGTTATTTACTTGTATATTCATTATTTTACACCCAGTTGTATATCTTGCGATCACATTTCCTGTATGGAAATTTAGCAAGAGAAAAGGAAAAGAACTTCCATTTCTACCACTTCCATTCTTTTCCCAATAGCATCACTAGAAGCTTGATAGAGTTTCCCTCTAAATTCCCTCCAATTTGTACCCAGAATCCTTTCTGCATCATCTTGTAATGCTTTGCTTTAGAGAGACTAAGCGGCTCTTACATGCAAGGGTATGAACTTCAGTAAACATTGTTCTGAGATGGCAACTTTTTACATTGATTTCTGCAAGTAATAATTTCTCATTGATTTTCCATAGGTATTGTATTATCAAATGGTCACACCTGGAGGCAACAGAGACAGTTTGGTGTAGTTACTATGCGGAAGTTGGGGTTGGGGAAGAAAGGCATGGAGCACCAAGTAGCAGAGGAGGCTCATCAGCTCGTAGAGGTTTTTGCACGTTCAAAGGGTATGTGATGCTAGGTGATGGTGCTGAGCTGGCGTATGAAGATTTATTTGTGTACTACCTCTGTCCATTTTAGAAAGGAATGTGATATGTTTTTCTTGGTTCCTAAAGGAGATCCCAGCAGTTTCTCTTGGCCACCATAAAATCCTACTCTCAGTATGAACAGGAGCAGCTGAACTAGAATCATAGAATCATAGAATCATAGAGTTGGAAGAGACCACAAGGGCCATCGAGTCCAACCCCCTGCCAAGCAGGAAAACCCCCTGCCACTAACATTATTTTGCAGGACAGCCACTTGATCCCTCCATGCCCATCACTAATTCAGTCTCCAACGTGATATGTGCTGTGGCTTTTGGGCACCGGTTTGCTCTTGAAGATGAACAGTTCCAGAAGCTGATAGAAGCCATTGATTTTATCCTACAATTTGTATGCAGCTTTGTTCATGGTGTGAGTAGTCATTTTCATTTCTACTATGCCAAAGAGGTCTCCCTAAATACCACAAATCAGTATTTTGAAATTGATCTGAGATAAGGGCCACTTACTGTCTCACAACCTGATCAATTTCTCATGATTACCATTGAGATTTTTTAAAAAAAGGAGTAGGAAGAATTTGTCCACTACAGAAGACTCTTTGGAGGAAAGATGGGATAAAAATGGAACAATGGCCTTCAGAACAGGTCATCGAGAGCCCACCAAGGGGAAGAGAGGGGAACCAAATAATCTTCTCAAGAAGCGAATTACTTAGTTTTGTTGCCATCATGGAAAACTAAATGTATCTACTCTCTAGCCACTTAGCAATGACAATGATGATGGCGTCCATGGTGAGGCCCCTGCAGCCAGCCTTGGCTGGAGGTTTTTAAACGTAAGAGAGACCTGCAACTCAAGCACTGTCCCTACTGCTAAGGAAAGCAGCTCCCTTCTGTATGACCCAACTAAACCCTTTTTGCCAAACTTAAGTTCAAGTCTCCACATTTCTACATACATTCCTGATCTTTAAAAAAAAAGGACTCATGAAACTTCATCAGCATTTTTCTGCTAATTTATCCTAATGCACACATTTGTTTGCAATTTTGCCCAATATACACATTTCTGCAAAGCAGTATATTGTAGGATTGCATGTTATTTTCAATATTATATGCATTTTAAGGCACACAAAACCATATCATTGCATTTCCATTTCTGTAAGCATCACTTGACTGGGAAACTACAGGCAAATTTATATCAGCATTCAAGGCGCATTTTGCAAAAAGGAATTTTATTACTGTGAGCAGTTTCTGAGCTCTGGGCACAGTATTAAGCCTAAATTTTCAGATTAAAACTGCAGAATGGAAGGAAAGGAGGACCTTTTTCTGCCTCCTCACTTCCAGCTTTAATATCTCAGTTTTTAACATTGCTTTATATTAGTCCAATTTTTATTTTCTAGCTCCTTATGTATTCAGAAAATGTAAGTAATTGGTCTTTAATGAGAAAACAAGGAACGAGAAAAAACATCCTTCTTCAAGGTTTAGTTTTTTGTAATGAAAGATCAGAATTACTTGACTGGCAAACTGGAAGATTTAATAAATACAACGAAAAATTAAAAAATGGAGAAGTGTACATTTTGAACGATGGCTGTCTTTCCATTTGTGTATTAGGCAAATTTGCTTTTAAATGTGAACTTACTTGAATTCCCCCCACACCCTGTTCTCCACCCACACTCACCTACCATAAAAGGCCACTAACTTGTTCCAGGAGGGGTCCTCTGATTGTGCCCAGTTTTGGAATGTTGCCTGGGAGCTGGGAAAATATTGTGAGCCATAGTTTTCTTTCACGTTTTCAGCTAGGGATAATTCACAGAATCCATTCATTGTGAGATTCCAGAAAAGTGATAGACACCTTCCTTCTTCTTAGTGAGAAACTAATATGCTAGCCTTGAAGAATAATGCAGATCATGTTTTTTAAAGTGCTAATCCAAAGCACAAACGGTGTGGCCAAGCTTCCTCATGGTAATGGCAGCATTTCTGCTATCTTTCCTTTAGCTTTGTGAAATTCTCCCATGGCTCATGAAACATCTCCCAGGGCCCCACAAGAAGGTCTTGTCCTGCATGGAGATGGTGCTTTCATTTGCAAAGGAGGAGATAGAGAAGCATAAGGAGAATCAGTCTCTGCATGATCCACAGGATCTCACTGATTTCTATCTACTTCAGATGGAGAAAGTAAGTATCAGCTTTGAAGCTGAATACTGCTCATCCAAGGAATCATTACATTCCCTGTTATAAGTGAATACTAATCTCTTGCCTGGAAACCAGTATCTATTTTCCTGAATCTCAGTTGAAAATGGCATTGAGTTCCCCCCAAATATTTCTCATAGTCAATTTAGTTGCTAATGTGAGTTGACATCCATCCATTAGCATTGTTAAAAATGTGAGTGGAAAGAAGTGGAAACCTAAGTGTGTTAAGGGGTCTTGCCTATGGAGCATTCCCTCTCTACATAAAATTCTTTGGATTGATGTTCATCTGACATTCAAATGTGGACTGAGAAAACAGAAAATCCTAAACAAAATGCTCTTAAACTAGAGTATGACTTCAAATTCCTGTCTCATCTATCTTCATATACTAGAAAGGACAAATGTAAATTCATCTACAAAGCAGAGGGCCGGCCCATCCATGAGGCAGGCTGTGAGAGCTGCCTTGGGCAGTGGAATGCCAACAGGAGGCATCTCTGGGGATGTGCTGCCTAGCCAGCCGCTAGTGTAGAAGCAAAGGGGGCAGCTTCTGGCAAGATTTCACCAAAATCTTTCAAGATCTCACCTAGCCCCCAGTTGCTGTTGCCACTTTGTGGGCACTGCTGTGCAACCCAGGTAAGCAGGAAGCAGCAACAGTACAGCGGTGGTGACAACATCTTCTCATTTCACCTCAGGCGGTGTAAGAGGACACCCCACCCCTCATGAAGCATGTGTGGGTGGTATCGTAATAAGTGTGTGTGGGGAAAATAAAGTAAGCGCTGAAGGACAAATTGTAAGGCATGTAAATGACATGTCACTTTCCCCATTTTCAACACCAGAGCAAGAATGACCCAGAGTCCACCTATGATGAAGAAAACTTGGCCCAGTGCATTTTTGACCTCTTTGCAGCAGGGACAGAGACAACCACTGGTTCTCTGAAATGGGCACTTCTCCTCCTGGCAAGTCATCCAGATGTCCAAGGTGAGAGAGGAGAGCCAGGACTTCTCTTGATCACTAGGGTGGAGCATAGTTCTTTAAAGGTTTCATATTGAAAAGAGTTAAAAGTGAGTTTATGATGTAAGTTTTGGAAGCCAAATGTTATTGAAATAAGCTAAAAGTTTTTGACTTACATGTCTGGAAAGATCATTCCCCCCCCCTTCACTTTTATGGAACCTATAATTGTAGGGTTGGACCCCAAGGGTCTCCTGCCTCTCCGTGCTCCACTACATGAGGGACACGGGTGGCGCTGTGGTCTAAACCAGTGATCCCCTTGTGCTTGCTGATTACAAGGTTGGCAGTTCAAATCTGTGTGACAGGATGAGCTCCCGTTGCTCTGTCCCAGCTTCTGCCAACCTAGCAGTTTGAAAGCATGCGAGTGCAAGTAGATAAATAGGTACTGCTGCGGCGGGAAGGTAAACACTGTTTCCATGCACTCTGGCACTCATCATGGTGTCCAGTTGCACCAGATGTTATATACACACACACACACACACACACACACACACACACACACCGCCCTCTCCAGCCAAGACCAGGCTCAGGGCGGCTAACAACCAATAATAAAAACAAGTTGATTAAAATACAATTTGAAAGATTAAGATACAAAATTAAAAAAAATTAGGGAGCAAAATCCTCCTTCATAGGAGTAGAAAGGAAAAAGAAAGAGGGGGAGGGAATCAAACTGATTCTGAGCCAAAGGCCAGGTGGAACAACTCTGTCTTACAGGCCCTGCAGAAAGAAATCCGATCCTGCAGGGTCCTGGTCTCATGAGACAGAGCGTTCCACCAGGCCGGAGCCAGTGTTGAGAAGTGTTGAGAAGCCCCTGGCTCTGGTTGAGGCTCATCTAACTTCCTTAGGGCCCGGGACCTCCAGGGTGTTGCTATATATGGACCTTAAGGTCCTCCATGGGGCATATCAGGAGAGGCGGTCCTGTTGGTACAAGGGTCCTAGGCCATGAAGGGCTTTAAAAGTCAAAACCAGCACCTTAAATCTGACCCTGTACTCCACTGGGAGCCAATGCAGCTGGAAAAGTATATATATAATGCAGCTGGAAAAGCATATATAACTCCCACCGGGCTCTGAAGGCTTGTGGATAGTTTTCTGAAGCCTGGAGAGCGAGAGGGATCGGTGCGCACCGACCCCTCTCGCTCTCCAGGCTTCAGCAAAAGCCTGCATTCGCCCCATAGGATGTACACGCATTTCCCCTTCATTTTTGGAGGGGGGAAAGTGCGTCCTATAGAGCAAAAAATACGGTAAGTAGGAAATATTGAGAGCCAGGGATGGAGAATACACACACACACACACACACACACACACACACACACACACACTACAGACAGCCTTTGATCCCAGCCCTTCAGCAAATCCAGCCAACAGAAACATCTGAGATTAGCTTCACTTTCAAAAATTTCACACCTGGGAACTAGAGTGGGGAAGAACCATGGACACAGACTTGAGCTCTTTGGAGGATCAGGTGAGCTAAAAATGCAAGAAACTGGAACTCATTCACAGAGATTTATGGAATATGGTCAAAGGAATTAAATGTCCATGTGAATTAAAATGCAGTATTCACAATAAATATTCTGTTTCCATCATTCTCTTCAGATAAAATGCACAAGGAAATAGAAGATGTCATAGGTTCTGCTCACTCAATCTGCTATCAAGACAAGAAGAAACTGCCCTACACCAATGCTGTGATTCATGAAATGCAGCGCTTTAAATATGTCCTTTTTTTTGGGTTACCTAGGCAATGTACAAAGGATTTGAAGCTGCATGGTTTTCTCATTCCCAAGGTATAACAGTGTGATACAGCTGCACACCTGTAGCCCAAGAGCAAAGAGCAGCAGAAGGTTGCATATTGAGAGATGCTGCCAGGCATACAGGAACTTCCTGTCTAGTCAAAAATCTGAAGGGCAAGAGCAGGAGCTCCATCTGCAGACATGTTTCACCATCAGCAAGTGCCATTCCATGGGGCATTTGAGGCAGGGGAGGAGCCTGAAGTATCCAGAGGTCTCAGCCTGGTTGTGAGCTTTCATTTTAAAAGAGGTGGGGGAAAGTCCTCTTGTGTTCCTGCCTATTCAGAAAGTATTTTAAGGTGAAGAATACAACCCCCCCAATATATATATATATAAAATCACACATGTCTCTGCAATGATTAGTCTTGGAATAGTGTGGGACAATCCAGAAATGTTTTGATCTGAATGCATTCCAAATCACTTGTTTCTTATTTGCAGGGGACTGTTATTGTTCCTGATCTGCGTTCTGTTCTTCTTGATCCCACACGATGGGAGACACCTGAGGAGTTCAACCCAAATCATTTTTTGGACAAGGATGGACAATATGTGGCTCGAGAAGAATATCTCTTATTTGGTGCAGGTAAATGCAGAAGACCATGCTACGTTGTGGTCTGTAGATGGGCTTACTGGTCTGCTTCCAGGAAATGACATCAGCAGCAGCACATGAGGGAGTGGGCCGGAGCAGAGGCAGCGTCTTTCTGGCTGGAGTGGGAGCGTTGGTCAGTAGAATGGGGCAGGGCAGTGGCAAGTTAAGGGGATCTCTGGGTTGGTGGCTTGGGATCCACACATGCACATACACTTATGTGGCCTCCATCTGGACCTCCCTACATTTGCCACCCCTGCCCTGTCCCTGAAATAGGCAGCACTGCCAGCACCAGGATACTGCTGTTCCCCGTCTCAACTCACACTGCAAGCCACCCAACTTCTTTTCAGGCAGCAAGGCTAAGGCTGTCTTTTCATGGGGTACTATTTAGCCTGGTTTGAAAGCACACTCAGAACTGATGAAACCATGCCACTTCCTTACTTCTCCTACTCTGAAATCAAAAGAATATTATTCCTGCAGAAATTCAGCAGACATCATCACTGCTAACTTACAAATTCTCCAAAGGTCAGATTCATGTGCTTTTCCATACAGCATTCAGAAATCTAGTTCCTACCAATGTGAGATAAGTCTGACAGGAAGATTACTTTATGCTCTTAACCCCTTTCTGCATTGCAGATTTGGACAGTTGACAAAAGTTTTCCTTTCATTTTTTTAAGTCAAGTTTTAGTGAAAGTTTTATACATAAGACACAATAAACATCATGACAATCTAAAAAGGAAAATAGAAAAAAATGAGGAAAGGAAGAAAAGAAAGAAAAGAAGAAAAGCAAATTACCTCTGTCAAAATTAAATATTCACCCTTATTCTACACACAGAAAAGTGAGCCCTCCCAGCTCCCACTTGGGACCTAGACCCTCTTCCCCCAGTTTCTAGCCCTTCATTTTCAATCCATCCCCTTCCTCAGTGTATCTTCCTTGATATGAGATAGGGAACTTCAAATTACAGAACAAAACATAAGTATAACAAGAAGAAGGAAAGGTTAGTACTGACCAGGCTGGGAAATTGACAGGAGCCTTGATGATTTTGCTATCCTATCTATGTCTAGTTTTCCAAAGTATTAAGGAGAATGTTTATAAGTACAAAGCAATGAACACGGGAAAGTAAATTATTGCTCACTTACTGCCTTCTTCTTGTCTCCTCCTCAGGGTCTCGCATATGTTTGGGAATGCAGCTGGCAAAGATCGAAATATTCATCTTCCTCACCAGCCTGCTGAGGGCATTCAGCTTCCAGCTACCAGAAGGAGTCAAAGAGCTCAATCAAGAGGCTATAATAGGGACTACAGCACATCCCCAGCCTTATAAACTCTGTGCTGTTCCCCGCTGCAACACATAAGAAAATAGGAAAATATTAGCGGCTGCACCCCTGCTTCCTCCACTTGGTGACCCCTTGGCCACTCTTGACACATGAACCCCCTAGAATTTCCCCTTCCCTTCCCATCTCATCCCATGCAACTACTGAGGTCTCTTTTCACCTTTGCAGCTCCATTTCTGAAGCCACTTCTCTCTTATCTTCTGCAGCTCTGCTTTGCATCCGTTTTCCCCTTCACCCCATTTCCTCCTTTTCTTCAGGCCTTTCATGCCCCTGTTTTCATCTTCATCCCTCTCCCAGTGCCTCCTTACTCCCTCCTTTTTGACAACTTTCCTTTGCATCCCCATTCTTACTCTCACACCCTTTCCCCCTCCCCTCTACTTTCCTCAAATCTCCCTTACACACACATTCACACACCTCCTTCTCTCTCCTGCTTCTGTAGCCCCCTTTCAACCCACACTCCATGCTATGTTATTGTATCTTTAAGATGAGCAGACTACTAAGAGCAGGACTGTCTGTTTGTCCAGTTGAAGAAGGTTAAGTTCCTTTGATGGATACTGTACATGTATGCTTGTTAATAAAATATCTCTTCTAAATCAGTACATTGAACCCAGAACTTCATGTTGAGGACAAGACATGGTATCAGGAGTGTGATACATTGTGTGAAGGCACTATGGAATATTTGAAGGCTTCACATGCTTTATCACAGCTAAGAAATGAAAGAGGGAGAAGCTTAAAACAGACGTTCCCCTGACTTTCACTATCCTTTTTTCTTTTTCTTTTTAAAATAATTTTTATTTGGCTTTACCAATATAAAATTATAGTAATACCACAACACACATCCACAATTAAGATTCCTCCAAATCTCTGAACTTTCCACCTTCCCCTCCATGGGTTCTGTTATTACACCTTCACTTGGGGTCTTGGTGGACAACAAGCTTAACGTGAGTCAGCAGTGTGATGCAACAGCAAAAATGCTAATGCTGTTCAAGGCTGCATCAACAGAAATATAGTGTCCAAATCAAGGGAGGTAATAGTTTTCTCATGGGACTCAGCTACATTTGTAAAGATAAAGCTCCTTATATGCATTATAACACTATGGCACCAGATGGCAGAGTGGAGTCCCATTTTTCTCCAAAGGAACTTCCCTGTATGAAGTTTACAATGCATTTAACTGGGGAAGGATATCAATAATAAAAATGAAAAATTGAGGATATAAGACATTTAGTAACTGATTGTTTACAGCATCACCAATTAAATGATATATTCAAAATGGATAAAAGAAATGGATTTAATATTATATATTTAATATTATATGATGCAGTTGAAAATGATTAACAATGGAACCCATGGAGAGGTGGGGGGAAGTCCAAGGATTCAGAGAATTCTATATGTTTATGATTACAACTATTATTTGAATGTAAATGTTAATTGTAATATTGAATAATAATTTTAAAAATACAATGCGTTTAACTGAATCGCTTCTTTGATGTGTCTTGATCCAGCCCTGCTCTGGAGGGTAGGACTCAAATCAATGGCTTCATGTTACAAAAAAGAAGATTCAGAAATAAACATATGGAAAAACTTCCTGACAGTAAGAGCTGTTTGACAGTGGAATGGTCTCCCTCGGGAGATTGTGGACTCTCCTTCCTTGGAGGTATTTAAGCAGAAGTTGGATGGCCGTCTGTCATGGATGCTTTAGCTGAGATTCCTGCATTGCAGGGGGTTGGACTAGATGACCCTCAAGGTCCCTTCCAACTCTACAATTCTACAATTCACTGCAACCCAGGTGAATGGCATGACCTAGAACCAAATGTAGACACCCACTGGCGTCAGCACAGCATGTAGGCAGTTCGGATCATACATTGTTTTCACAGAATGATTACAGTACTAATATTTCTGCTCTAAATCAGTTCCTAAGAAGCACTGTCCTTGTCCTTCTCCACTGCTAGTACTCTAATTGGAGTCAGAGGCACTTTCCACCCACAACCCATCCCAAGAACCAGATTTACAAGGATTAAGAAGACCTGTGCCATTCAAGAAGGCCTGTAGCTGGCCACACTACCAAATCAACATGGCAAATTACAGTAGAATCTGATCTATAAGATGCAAGGCCAAATGGAGGAGGTGCAATAATAATAATCAAAATATCTTTCAAACGCGGATGTCCCGCCCCACAATGAAGTAGTAACCATAGTCGTCATTAGTACAATCTCTGTTTCTCATTGGAACATAATGAACCATGAGTCAAGCACATATGTTATGGCCACAAGTCCATATGCCAGGGATCATTGAGGGTTTTGAGGCATGATGGCATGCACTGGCTGAACACCAAGGAATGGTGGGAGGTACAATCTGGGGAATTTCCAAGGGATGGAGACTGAGAGCCCGGGAATTGATGATCAGACAGGGACAGTGTGTGGCAGAGAGAAGTCCAGAAGCAGAAGCAGAGGAAGAAGTAGGAGATAGGAGAGGCCAAGAGGCAGAGATGAGTCAGGCTAGTGAAGGAGCCAGGGTGTCCCCCCTCCTGCTGCAACAAGCTCCCCTCTCCCGGTGTCTCCAAGGACCAGAAGAGGGATGAAGAGGGAGGAGCAGAGAAGGGCAATTCAGTGGAGTTTCATTCCTTTTTTATGGTCTTATCTGATGCTGTTCTTATACTATGTATGTTCACTTGGCGCTTGGCCCTATACCCAAAGGTCTCAGGGCAGTTCACATAAAATATCAAATACATTAAATGAAAACAAAACCAACAACCCAATAACCCCCCCCCAAAAAAAAAGATCCAGCATTTTTCAAAAGGGTATAAGATGTAGATCAAGTCAGGCAAAGGCCAGGTTGAAAAGGAACATTTTTGCCTGGCGCCTAAAGGTGTATACTGAACATGGGTGGGGAAGGTCCCCCAAAATATTTTACTAGGGGGTCCAAAAGAAGTTGGCACCTACACTTCTTACCTATTGTTTCCCTAAACTATTTTAATATTGTAGCCTTATTAGACTTAACCGATTGGTGGGCTCTGCATTGCTCCCGGACAGGAGGAAGGAAGTCAAATGACACCGAGGGTTGGTTCAGAGAAAGAGTTCTTTTATTCTGCTCTCCGGATAGCAGAAGGCACTTGCGTGGTCAGTCCACAGCAAGTTCAAAGAAATGAGAGATTTCATGCAGTATATATATCCTCCAGGCACCCTCTCCCCCTTCCCCAGGAATCCAAGCACGTCAGCTTGTACACGTAAGTTGACATCACAGATGTTCCTCCTCCAGCACTCTTAACCATTAAAGGGTATTCCTTCCTGTACACCTGACCATAAAAGAGTATTCCTTCTTGTACTTCTGACCATAAAAGGGTATTCCTGTTCTTATACTCTTATCTTGGAGCAAGAGGTCACCAACTTCAAGAACACACTCTGGCACTGTTCCCGGACTAGGTCTGTGCGTCTTTGTGGTCTTTGTGGTCAGGATGTGTCAGGGAACTGCCATCGGAGCTAGAGGCAGAGGGAAGGCTCCAGAGGGATGCCGGAGAGGGTCCCAATAGGGAGAGGGGCAGCCCATTTGCTGGGGAAGGAAATCAGCGTAATGCCAGTGGAGAAGGGGGGCAGATGGGGGAATCGGAGAGGAGGCTCCAAGACTCCTCGCCAGAGACCAGCGGAGAGAGTACAGGTCCTCCGCTGCCCACACCCTCCCTGCGCAGAAGGCTTCCGTGCAGGGAGACTAGGCGGAGACTAGGCGTCAAAGAACTTTTGTGCTGGAAGAAGTTCAAGAAACGCCCACTGACGGATTCTGCCAGCGACTGAGACAGTCACGATGCTAGAGGCTGTTCAGTCAGAAAGGGTTCAACCAGGTAACCTAGCCAGGAGTGGCGGCAACTTACGCACGAGCAACCCCTAAACCCATTACAGGATGTAAGATAAGGCCCAGAGTGTCATCCCTGTTCCACTTTGGAGTGGTCAAGGCCATCCGTCATTACCAGCCTTCATGGACTGATAAGGGAGAGAGCTTTGAGCACTAGTTTATACAGCTGGGTTTTGGCTCAAGAGCTCAAGTTAAAGCATATTAGAATAGCTCCCTTGGAAAAGGAAAAAAGTGGATTTTAGATCCCGTTTCAAACTGACTGCACAGAAACCCATTCCTTCAATATCAGCAAACATTTTCTTCTATTTTCAGACAGAAGCCTTGACAAATAAAGAATATTCAGAATCTTGGTGTAAATCATGAATTTTTATAAGGAATTAAATTATTCAGGAGTGTTATTCTTTCACTTACAAGCAGGCACCATACATTTGCGTGAGTCCTCACTCTCCCAGATGAGCCCCCTGAGAGAGGGGGGAGGGAGGGAGAGAGAGAGAGAATGTACACATGCACACTTGGCTTTTCCTAAGAGTCTGGGTAAAAGTTGGATCCAGTACATATAGATCATAAAGAGGAAGCAGGAAAGACTATCACTCTTTCAAATTCCTCCTCCAGCTCTATGCACTCTTCAAGGGAGAAAAGAGGTAATCCCTCTTTTTGCGCAAGAGAGGATTTCGGTGTGATCCAGCGGGGCTTTTCTCATATTCATTTTTTATTTTTTTATTTTTTTGAAAATAATTTATACTAACAGACCAATCAAATCACATCACATTAATTCCGAATTACAAAACCAAATTTTAAATTTTTGTTGGGGGTACCCATATTTCAAGTTCCGAAAGGGATCCAATCATCTTGTTGCTACTGCTTTAATGTCCACAATTCTGTCCAAATGATGTTCACAATTCTATCCAATCCTTTCTTCTTGTTTTCCACATCTCTTTTTGTTGGGATACTGCCAGGGAGATAAAGTCCATCAAGGCCCTCAAGCCGTCTGCCGGACGATCCATCGACCTCCCGTAGGCACACAGCAACATGAGTTTCTAGAAAATATCTTGCCACATTCCAGAGCTCATGCACGCTCTATCAGCAGATAATGCACAGCCAAAAGTTGCACTCAGGAGAGCATTATTTACAAGTTTATTCAGCGTTGATCAGAACACAGAAAAACATGACTGCCTGCT